CCACTACAAATAGGAAAAAGAGGCTACAATTTGCAAGAGCTCACCAAAATTGAACAGTTGAAGACTGGAAAAATGTTGCCTGGTCTGATGAGTCTCGATTTCTGTTGAGACATTCAGATGTTAGAGTCAGAATTTGGCGTAAACAGAATGAGAACATGGAACCATCATGCCTTGTTACCACTGTGCAGGCTGGTGGTGGTGGTGTAATGGTGTGTGGGATGTTTTCCTGGCACACTTTAGGCCCCTTAGTGCCAATTGGGCATCGTTTAAATGCCACGGCCTACCTGAGCATTGTTTCTGACCATGTCCATCCCTTTATGGCCACCATGTACCCATCCTCTGATGGCTACTTCCACCATGTCACAAAGCTCTAATCATTTCAAATTGGTTTCTTGAACATGACAATGAGTTCACTGTACTAAAATGGCCTCCACAGTCACCAGATCTCAACCCAATAGAGCATCTTTGGGATGTGGTGGAACGGGAGATTCGCATCATGGATGTGCAGCCGACAAATCTGCGGCAACTGTGTGATGCCATCATGTCAATATGGACCAAACTCCCTGAGGAATGCTTCCAGCACCTTGTTGAATCTATGCCACGAAGAATTGAGGCAGTTCTGAAGGCAAAAGGGGGTCCAACCCGTTACTAGCATGGGGTACCTAATAAAGTGGCCGGTGAGTGTATATATATGTGTGTGTGTATATATATATATATATATACAAGAAAGAATGCAATGACAATATATATATATATATATATATATATATATATATATATATATATATATATTGTCCTTGCATTCTTTCTTGTGTGACACCCCTGAATGAAAGGCTCATTATTATGCAGGGTCACTGTCTGAGAACCACTTAATTATTCATGATAGGGGTTGGGCCGTTCCGCCCATCCGCATATTGCCTTGGCAAACAAAAAAATGTTTTTCACAATTTAAAACAATCTATTGTTTTATGTGAATGATTAGGAAGGATGATTTTCAGATCATTTTGAAGCAAAAACTCTAGGCGACAACGTCCATTAGTCAAAAGTCTTGTGGACACACATTTAGTATGTTTTTTGTGTCCTTATTTCAAAAACTTTATTTTTTAGTTTTTTCAATAACCACGCATAAACAATATTCTCTCAAAAATACAAACTTGTACATACATGTTGCTCACATATTATGGTAGTCCTGTGTGTGCTAAATAGAGTGTAATTTCACCTGTGCCATTAATATCATAATAATGTACACATATATAAGCAACTGAAAAAAGCAGAAATGTCAGAGCATGTCAAAACATCTCAAGGAGCCCAAAACACCTTGGACCCCAGAGGGTTAAATTGAGATGTATACATCATCTGAATGCTTTGTTAGGATAGGACAATATTTGGCCGAGATACAACTATTTGAAAATCTGGAATCTGAGGGTGCAAAAAAATCGAAACATTGAGAAAATCGCCTGTAAAGTTGTCCATTTTATGTTCGCGATTGTGCTGCATTCACTCACAAAAATAAATGTTTTATATATTTATGGTAGGAAATTTACAAAATATCTTCATGGAACATGATCTTTACCTAATATCCTAATGATTATTGATTTTGGCAAAATCAATAATTTTGATCCATACAATGTATTGTTGGCTATTGCCACAAATATACCTGTGCTACATGTGACTGGTTATGTGATCCAGGGTCACATTTGTGGTGTGAACCACAATTTTTTTTTTTTTTTTTTTACGATTTTTAGATCTATATCTTTATCATTATAGTTTTCGTCCTTGGTGTGAATGGGCCTTTAAGCTGTTTTGTAAAAAAAACAGGTATATACAATACAGTAGAGGCCAAAAGTGATGTCGGGCCTAGAAAAAATGATATCTTCAACCTTTATTAAAAGATGACTTAAAATTGGTTAAAGATTTTGTAATCATATTATGTAGTTGTGCTTTGAGTCAATTGTTTTGTTTGTGATAACACAATGAAACCTGCCAAATTGTGTGGACATACGTTTTGGCCAGACTCTCATACAATAGAAATTATGAATACATGCAAAAACAAGAGATAACCAATTAAATATTAACAATTATGTTGTAGTAAATGTATGTTTTTTCCTGTGAGCTATGCAACTATGCACATTTATTTTGCATATTAAAATAAAATCTATAGCTGTAGTTGCCAAATAATTTTGTCAGATAAAAACCTTAACCAAGTTTAGTGTTTTGTTCTTTCCTCATATTTAAAATATATTTATTTTTTAATTTGCCACTGCTGTATATAAAAATAATTTTAAAATAACTGTGCGTGATGTAAAACCCAAGGAGGCTATTTTTACCTGGAACAACCTGGAACATTAACCCTCTGTTATTCCTTACTTAAGTGTCAAGTTTAAACATCTGTGTATTCCCACTTGTTTGTAAGTCTTTTTAGAGATAATTGCTTACTTTTATCAGGATTTTGTAATGCCATTTAGCCTTTTCTATTCATGTCCACAATTATTTTTTGTTTTTTCACACACATAGCAGCTGCCACAAATATCACTAACTTTCGATGAAGTAAAAAAATATATATATATTGTATTAATGATTATTATTGATTCATCAGTTCTCAAAAAATGTTTGGTTTTAGAGGGTTTCATTAAAATGCTAAACTTTTTTTTTTTTTTTTGGTCTGACGTCACCAAGCCCTTCAAACCACCTGTCAGTGAATACAGAATCAACGTTTCACTCTCCAATTTGTTCAAAATGGATCAAATTGTTAGATGTTGGTGTATTTGGCCGAGCAGTGGTTTGGGTGGCTCGCCAATGTATTAGATTTCTCCAATACATAAAATAAGTAAGCTTGACCAGAGTTCTTGTGGGGAGAATAATTTATTGAAGGTTTGTAGTGTAGCAGTCCTTCAGCAGCCAGCGATGTTAGCATGTCGCCCTTCAACAATCTTAACCCAAAGTTCTGTCTGTGAGACATAACTTTATACATGAAGACATAGCCTATGGGCTACAAACAATAGAAACCTGTTAGGACCTCCCACAGGAGATCGATCTAACTGGCTAATCCACCCTGAGCAATCCTGATTCTTTGTCATTCACACCAATCAGTTTCTGTGGGCCATACATCTGAATGGGCACACACCTTTGGCACACACCTTTAGTTTGCAGACACAGACAGAGTGGATTACATCTGATACACAGTCACAATGTAAATTAATCTGATGACTGAAAATACAAAATCTATCAATCAAATCCAGTCCTCATTATTATTTTTCTTTTTAAATATCCTTGTACACTCAACAGTACAAAACGAATAACTCTTCATGTTGCTTTTAAAATTTGACACATTGTAACTCTTCCTGTACCGTAGTGCTATTGATGTGAATGATACCTCAAATCAAGCGGCTTGTTGAGGTGAGGTAACCTGTTATGTTTATGAGCGATCAGATGTACCATTTTCACCTAGTGGATGACAAAACAGGTGAACATATTGCATTGGCTTACATTGAAGGAGAGAACCGAACCGTAACTAGCAACCAGAATATCATAGAGACTTGGGCTTGTAAGAAACCACCTAGAACCGTTTGAAAACCACTGTGTAGATTTCTATATCTTTAGTTTGTCATATTTATTATTTCCATGCAGCATGTTTGCGAAAGTGTTTGAAACTGGATGAAACCCATTTAATTTGACTGAGGCTGATTCACATTAAAAGTCAGTGCTATAACTGCAATCTCTATCATTTCATTATAGATCCCAAATGTCTGCTTATCGCCTGCAGAAGCTCATTAGAAATCGCTTTTCTCATATCTGCCTGACCTTAAGGTTCAAAGCGTGTCAACACCTACCGAGGCTTGTTTGTCAGCATCTCCGATAGCTTTTAGAAACGATGACATTTATTCTCCTGTCTGATGTTTGATATTTCATTTAAAGAAGTGTTACAGTTTGGAAATGTCCTTCGACCCAGATCTTAAATCTTGTTGTTCTGGGGCAAATGTCTGATGTTTCAACTGTCATTCGGAATGTTAATGAAGTTAGGATTACTTATTGACCATGACTTATAATTAGGAATAATGCTTAAATTAATTAAAGCAATCAGATAAATTACATGATATGCTAATTGGTTAAATTGATCAAAGTTAATTACATGTATCAGGCTGTAGTCAGTCCTGAATTTTTTTTCTTTGGTGCTGGCCTAACTTTCTTCTTATTAGTGGCTTAATTAAAGAGAGAGTTCTGATTACAAGATTAATAATCTGTTATAGCCCTGTAGTCAATAATTTTATCCCATAAAACTCACCGAAATGACACATTTAAACTGCTTTTCCTTGAAAAAAATCGTCATGCCTTAAAATAGCTTGAATGTAAGTCTACACCCTTGCCTCATTTACTATACGCGGTTCTATGAATATGCAAATTAGCCCCGCCTCCACTCACTCACACCACCTCAGAGATCCACTCGTTGATGATCACATGTTGATGTGATTGGTTACAAGGTAGTTTGTGACGTCAGAAACACCAGCGATTTCAAACTGCGTTTTTGAGACTGTCTTTGGTTCACTGCAGTTTTAAGGTAAAAAAAACTCAGCAGTGGTGTTGATTGACTTATGAATTTGCACATGGTTTGTCTTAAAGCATATTACAAACACCACATAGAAATATAAACAAAATTTAAATCTGGATTTTCACCACAGGGGGACTTTAACTATTTCTGTTCCTTCCTTTCACATAACTTTACAGCTGTTCTCAGATTAATCTGTAAATCAGTTTGAGGGCTGATCGTGCTTGACGACTGTGTCTAAGTCAGACATAAATTTCTGCCATTTAATCTGTTCTGTTTTCCTTAAGCTTTAAATGTCCCAGTCTCAACTGGGTAATTAATGCAGTCCCCTCACTCTCTATACATCTCTCTGATCACCTCTTTTACTGTTCTCTTTGTTTCTTACTCTGTCTCATGTATCTTTTCTTTGCCCTTCCTGTCCCGTTCTCACTGTCATATCTCACTCTGTTCCTCACAGGCAGTGGCACCTCTCAGGGAGAAGATACGGGAACTTGAGCTTAGGTATGTTTTTCATCTGCACCCAAAAACGTACACTGCTATAGCTTCAAGTCCTGCCGTGCTTGGTATCACACCGTGATCTTTTACACATAATAAAACCCATTGAGATTTCAGTACATTTCCTTTTTTATATCTGCTATTTTTTTATGTATCCACACTTCATAGATATATTGTGCAATTGTGAGAAAAAGCCCTGATGAGCAAGTAATTAGTTGAATAGGTTAGAAATGACATGAGCACATTTCACAGCCGGTAATTACGAAGGAAGTGTCATAAAACAGCCAGTCTGGAGAAGTGTAAGCAGGGTTGAATAGAGGAAGAGACAGGAAGCTGCGGCACAATGTGCGTCAAGCTTTGATTGGCATGTCAGGATGGGGTTAAAATTGCACCATGATATTTTGTCAGTCCTCCTCAGTGATGAGGTGTGAGGTCTCCGGAGAGAGTGGCTGTCTTTTTCTCTTCACTTTGCCGCATCTCAGCCAGACCTAAAGGAGATTACTTGATGCTGTTTGATTGGCCCCGGGCCCCGACTAAACCCGGCACTGACATAATCTCAGAGTATATTACCTGTGTTAGGAGATTCATCAAACAGGCACAAGTGTCATGGCAGCAGTGTGAAATGAACCTACTTTTCAAATTAGTTTGGCCAAAGTAACAAAAACAGTTCTTGGATAGACATTTGTAACAGGGTTCCACCAGCATTATCAGCATGTGCTGTGGTCCATTTTATTCATTCTGGCATCGCTCAACAAAACCATCAATTCACAGCTTCCTTGTATTTTATTAGGGTGTATTTTTTTAGTTTATTTCTGATAATCTAAGCCACTTAAAAATCAAGGTTCCAAAAGTTTTTTTTTTGTTTTGTTTTTTTCAGTGATTTTTTTTTATTTATTTTTGGTTCCTCAAAGAATCTTTCAGTGAACAGGTCTTAAAATAACTATATTGTTTTCTCATTGTGAAGAACAATATACAGGTCCTTCTCAAAAAATTAGCATATTGTGAAAAAGTTCATTATTTTCCATAATGTAATGATAAAAATTAAACTTTCTTATATTTTAGATTCATTGCACACCAACTGAAATATTTCAGGTCTTTTATTGTTTTAATACTGATGATTTTGGCATACAGCTCATGAAAACCCAAAATTCCTGTCTCAAAAAATTAGTATATTTCATCCGACCAATAAAAGAAGTGTTTTTAATACAACAAAAAAAAAGTCAACCTTCAAATAATTATGTTCAGTTATGCACTCAATAGTCAATACTTGGTCGGGAATCCTTTTGCAGAAATGACTGCTTCAATCCAGCGTGGCATGGAGGCAATCAGCCTGTGGCACTGCTGAGGTGTTATGGAGGCCCAGGATGCTTCGATAGCGGCCTTAAGCTCATCCAGAGTGTTGGGTCTTGCGTCTCTCAACTTTCTCTTCACAATATCCCACAGATTCTCTATGGGGTTCAGGTCAGGAGAGTTGGCAGGCCAATTGAGCACAGTACTACCAAGGTCAGTAAACCATTTACCAGTGGTTTTGGCACGGTGAGCAGGTGCCAGGTCGTGCTGAAAAATGAAATCTTCATCTCCATAAAGCTTTTCAGCAGATGGAAGCATGAAGTACTCCAAAATCTCCTGATAGCTAGCTGCATTGACCCTGCCCTTGATAAAACACAGTGCACCAACACCAGCAGCTGACATGGCACCCCAGACCATCACTGACTGTGGGTACTTGACACTGGACTTCAGGCATTTTGGCATTTCCTTCTCCCCAGTCTTCCTCCAGACTCTGGCACCTTGATTTCTGAATGACATGCAAAACTGAGCAACAGTCCAGTGCTGCTTCTCTGTAGCCCAGGTCAGGCGCTTCTGCCGCTGTTTCTGGTTCAAAAGTGGCTTGACCTGGGGAATGCGGCACCTGTAGCCCATTTCCTGCACACGCCTGTGCACGGTGGCTCTGGATGTTTCTACTCCAGACTCAGTCCACTGCTTCCGCAGGTCCCCCAAGGTCTGGAATCGGTCCTTCTCCACAATCTTCCTCAGGGTCCGGTCACCTCTTCTCGTTGTGCAGCGGTTTTTGCCACACTTTTTCCTTCCCACAGACTTCCCACTGAGGTGCCTTGATACAGCACTCTGGAAACAGCCTATTTGTTCAGAAATTTCTTTCTGTCTTACCCTCTTGCTTGAGGGTGTCAATGATGGCCTTCTGGACAGCAGTCAGGTCGGCAGTCTTACCCATGATTGCGGTTTTGAGTAATGAAACAGGTTGGGAGTTTTTAAAAGCCTCAGGAATCTTTTGCAGGTGTTTAGAATTAATTAGTTGATTCAGATGATTAGGTTAATAGCTTGTTTAGAGACCCTTTTCATGATATGCTAATTTTTTGAGACAGGAATTTTGGGTTTTCATGAGCTGTATGCCAAAATCATTAGTATTAAAACAATAAAAGACCTGAAATATTTCAGTTGGTGTGCAATGAATCTAAAATATATGAAAGTTTAATTTTTATCATTACATTATGGAAAATAATGAACTTTATCACAATATGCTAATTTTTTGAGAAGGACCTGTGTATATATATATATATATATATATATATATATATATATATATATATATATATATATATATATATATATATTTTTTTTTTTACACTTATATATATATATATATATATAAGTGTAAAAAAAAAAAAATATATATATATATATATATTATATTTTAAGATATTTTATACTCGAATATGACGTATAGCACTAATGGATATAATGCATCTCCCCATGCAAGACAAGTATAGCAACAGCAACACAAGCTACAGACATGAAATCAGGTTTACAGAATAAAGGAAATTAAACCAGATCATCTTAAGAAAATATTTATTTTCTACATGCATTGGTACAGATTTTTCTATGAGGCTTCACTGTGAGTGCATACAAAAAAAAAAAAAAGGAAAAACCCTGATCAGAGTTATCTCTATGGGACTGTGTCCTCTTTGGGACCAGTGAGACAATTGAAATAATCAGTGATGACGTTATCAGTGAAGTCTGGGGACTAGGGAGAGTGTCTACAATATCTCTGTGTCTGAGCTGAGAAACTCAAGAGTAATTGGATGAGAGAATCACAAGCACAGAGTCATCCCCCTAGAGTTTTTGAGTTTCTGTGCTCAGATACTGACATATTCAATACTGACAAGTGAATTTGTACTGGAATGTGTTGATAGAGTAGCAAGAAGAATGGAATGTTTAAATGTGGATAATTTTCATCAGCTAAAATTTGTTTTTTAATGCTTTTGTGTGTGACTGAATAGTGTGGTGCTTTTGACATATATAAGACACATCTAAATACTCTTGAAACTTGCTCATTTAAGGTTTTCTTTTATTCTACAGCTTTACCCAGAAGTACCCACCTGTAAAATTCTTATCCGAGAAGGACCGAAAGAGGATTTTGGTGAGGATTTTTTCTTTTTCTTTTTCTCAAGTCTTCTTCGGTGTACAGAACTGCTTCTTCAATAATGCATGTCTGTCTGTCTGTAAGATATATATGGCATACAGGTGGTCATCATAGTTTATTGACATTTCGTTGTTCATTTTCCACTTTTTGATAGATCGCTGGCATTTTTCCTCCTCCAATGAAAATGTTATTAAATAAAATCTCCTGCGTTTATAAGGTTACAGTGTCAGATTGAAGCATAACCAATTTGGCAGCTGGGAAATAACTAGAGTTATTTCAGAGGGAGCTTTTCAACAGGCTTTGTTGCACACAGATAATTGAGAGTGGAAGAATGTAGAAGCGTTGAGGAAACAAGAAACAGTAGGGAGTAGAAACACTGCTCAAATTCCTCTGATTACTCCCTGTGCTGATTTAGCCCCATGCTTTTTAATCCCATCTGATTGCAACTTGTTAAAATATTTCTCAAACTTAAGTAAATAGAAAGTCATGTATGACTCTATGTACGTCAATAATTTTGGCTTATGAAATGATATACAGTCTTTCCTCTGGTAGATCACCGGTGGGGCAGGATTTGTGGGCTCCCACTTAACTGATAAGCTGATGATGGATGGTCATGAGGTCACTGTTGTGGATAATTTCTTCACTGGCCGCAAGCGCAATGTAGAGCACTGGATCGGCCATGAGAACTTTGAGCTGATCAACCATGATGTGGTGGAGCCTCTCTATATTGAAGGTGAGCACCACCAATTGCTTTTGATGCTTGATTCATCACAGATAATCGATTATAAAGACTAAGGGTTTTTCTTCACTGGGCCTGTTTTTTTGCCGTCCGAGTCTGAGCGGGATTGTTCCTGGTACCCCCCACAGCGTTGGTCTAGTTTCACACTCAACTTGATTCTGTCAAACCCTGGTGCATTTGCATTCGTTACGTCATCACAAACATGCACAGCACATGATAGAAAATGGAACGCGGGTTAATTTGGTGCTATTATGCACAGTAAACGACACTTGGGTTTACTGTATGTGTGTCGCATAAGGCAGCTTTCTGCTGCTTGCAAACAACCCAAAGAATTCACAATGATTTATTAAATTACTCTTCTCATTATAATGTTATGTAATATGACAATCCTAATTATAGTTATTATTAGTCGTGCATTGCTGTTAGAGCTGCATGCGCTGAATAGGGATGCAACGATTACAGATTTTGTAAGTACGATTATTGTCTGAGAAATAATCACGATTTAACGATTATCACGATTATTATGCATCAATTAATTTCACAACACTACATGTATAATATCACATGAACACTCAACACTAGATTTGAATGTGTTATTTGCCACAACACAGTACAAAATTATAAAATGACAAACAATAATCAATCTCTTCCTTTGGAATTAAAGAGAAGTGCTTTGTAATCATCCAGCATTTTTCTTTAAAAAATAACAAATTAAGTCAATGGCTGCAGGCCAGGGCTCTTTGATTGAAATAGATCACAAAATGATTAAGTGTTTAGTTTGTTCTAAATTTATTTTCAACCTGAGGTAGAAAACTTGAAAACATGAAAACAATATCTTGTTGGTATTTGACTTAAAAACAAATAAAGGGATAATAAATCCCAATGAAAATAAGAATAAACAAAATATTTGGCTCTATTGAATTAAATGTAAGCTAAATATTAACTATGTATTTATTTTAAAAGTAAACAATTATAGTCCAAATGTTATCCACTCCAATATTATTGTACTTATTTTAATACTCTTTTTAAAATTATTAATCCAAATTTTACATGTGCCTTTAGAAAATCATCTATTATAATCTCATTATTTTGGTTTGTTTGTTTGAAGTTTAAGTAAAAATTATAGAAAGAAACTGAGAACATCTCTCATGCAGTGTTATTAATAACTGAAATGCAGTTAATTGGTAGTCCTAGAAGTCTACACGGCCCTGATCTTATGTTAGTGTTTTCACACCGGGCATATTAAAACTACAAAGCCTAACATTTACAGGAGAAAGCAATAGGATATTAAGTTAAATGTTCACTGACTGAAACTCTTGAGAGCACGTCACATTCTGTTTTCCACAGACTTGCGCAACCAAAACATTCCGCTGTTTTTTGTTGTTGTTTTTTTACGTTGCACTGAAAGCTGAAAGTTGCACGCCGCGTTCTCCTTTTTCCAAAGCGCTAGGGCGGTTGCGCTCCGGAGGCGTCTGTCGTTGCTGTGTTGGTTCTTGTCACTTGACCTAAGGTGCGCTTGCGGCATTATGAAAAGTAGAGATGTTTTTATCTCGATGCGGCGCGGACGCGCTTGGAAAAAACGAGCGCGTCGCTTCCCTTATGAGCGCGCATGCCGTGCGCCTACATTTGAAATAACGAACTTGAGCGCGCAAAAGACGCGACCTGTGAACAGGCCCTTAAGGCATTTTTTCGGTGGAAATAGAGCATCGCTGCTAGTCCCTCTGCCATAGTGGTTGACGAGCACGGCATTAAGCTGGTGCACTGCTGGTGTAACTTTGTTTTCGTTTTGTGTTAGTTGCAAAAGTTCCGTTCTGTGCAGAACACTCGGTGTAGCATAGTCTTTACGATTAATTAACCGTGACGTTTTAAAGCGCGGGTAATTGTGGAATCTGGTAATCGCTGCATCCCTAGCGCTGAATGAACATCGGTAAACTGAAGCTCTTTTCTAGCGGGTTATTTAACTCAACAAAACGCATCCTATATGAGATTAATCAGATATATACAAAATATTACTAATGATATCTGCAAAAAATGACACATGCACAAGTGAGCTTGAACTAAGTTATGTGCTATTCAGAATGTGTAACTCTTGTTGTGAATGCACTCTTCCTGGAGCAACGCGCTGAAACACGGCAATTAAACCCAAATAATTCACAAGGTTTTTTTACAATATTGTTCCCTTTATAATGGTATGTAATTTGACAGTCCCAATCATAGTTATTATTAGTTGTGCATTGCTGTTTGAGCTGCATGCGCTGAAGCTGAAGATGATCACCGGCGTGCTTTATACAGCGTTAATTCTTAACCAAATGCATCATATATGAGATGAATCGGATATATATAGGTCTACACAAAATAAACACAATATTACAATTTACACTTGCACAAAACAAAAGGCTGTGAATGCACATGCAAACTTGAAGGTGTAGGCTCATGAAGGTGTAGCCTATTAAAGTAAAATGGTCCCAAACATAACTCCGGCGTGCTCTCTTAATTTTTCCTCGGGTCTGCTTTACGTGTTTCGTGGCATGCGCATGACCTTAAATAATCGATGATCACATTTTTATCGATTAAATTATTATCGACAATTAATCGATCATCGATTAATCATTAACATCCCTAGTAAACACACATTAATAGCAATGCGTTTGGACTGTAGAGCATTGCCTTGTGTTAGATCATGCCAACATCCTTCCAACCACAAATGTAAAATGTTAAATCAAATCTCCACACCATGAATATTGGATCCAGTCTCTTTACCAGACCCCGTCAGAAGATATCCGTCATGTCTGGTATCCAAAACCAACCAGCAGGGTTTTGTCTGATATCCAAAACCAGTTAACAGCAAATCTTTTCTGATACCAAATCAGTTAACGAAACTCTTAACTGTATTAACTAAAAGTCTTCTATGAGCCTGAGGGAATGACAGAGGAAACCAGAAAAGAGGAATTGAATAATTGAATGATAATTGATTATGGTTAAATTATTATAAATTAAAATCACAGATATTTATTATAAAAAAAACACAGATGTATGGTTTGTTATGGTTTGTTCTCTTGCACTAGCTATTAAGAATCCTTAGATATTTCACTTGTGAACATGCAAAATGTTTAAGAAATATTAGTGAGTAAGTAAATACAAATAGTGAACACTGGAAATTAAATGTGACAGATAATAGAAGGCAAACTTGGCAATGTTCATTTTTATTTCCCCGTAAAAGGTACAAAGTATGTACGAGCAGTGAGTTAAAAATAATAATAATAATAGAAACTACTTGTCACTCAATGACTGTCTGTGAAATCCACTTGCTGATTACAAGGTATTTCTGTGAAGGATGAGAGTGTTCCAATAACAGTGAAGTTTCAGTTCACTGTTATGGGAACTGAAAGAGGACTGTCAAAGAAAGGAAATTATTTAGATTTAATGTGAAAGTTCAAGAGTTGGGGACTGACAAAAACAACTAGCATTAAAGGGAGGCTGCTTTCATAAATTCAGTCCGGTTTGAGGACAGTCACTGTCAGTGATTTGACTCGACAATGGATCCTTGAATGAAGGGATGTAGAGCTTAGAGGACCTTCAGGTCATTCTCTTTGCCCTTATTTGTCAGGCAGCATCACACCTACCACTTCTGCTAATCAAACCAGGAGAAGCTGGAGGAAAGCTAGTTAAAAACAATGACTGCTATGTCTGTAATGGAAAATCTCAGCAGTGTGCTTCAACCCCTGATGAAGTACAGGTTTGACACATTCAACTGTGACATTAACCACATTCACACAAGAAAACCGTTAAATTACAGTCAAATTGTTTGAATTCAGCGGTAAATGTACCACAGCGATTCACAAACACAATGGCTTTCCATCTTTTTTTTTCATATCGCAGTGGTCCACACATCTCATTCTCCGCCAAAATGCTATTATTACTCGGCAGTGTTTGTCTAGATTAGAGTGGATATTCACAATTTTTGACTTTCACATTGTTAGGCCTACAATGAAACCGCATGAACGACACTGCAACAGTTCGTTCAGAACTTTATGATTTGCCCAACTCTTTGACCACAAACTTCTTAGGCCAAATCTTGTACATGCTCAAACCATTAATCTTACAGCATTGTTAACACAATCAACACGCACCTTTTTGTCTGGCAGTGTTACAACTTCTGTAGCCGGCACAATGGGGTCCTGTACACACATGACCTCTAACCTTAAAAAATAACATTAACTCCCGGTTTCACAGACAAGGCTTAAGCCTAGCCTTGGATTAAAATGCATGTGTTAGCTGTTTTAACTGAAATCAACTTACACTTGCATATCTCGAAATATGTCAGTGCCATTGTTCTGTCTCAAGATGCACACCAGTAATGTTTTTTTTTCTAAGGCACGTTTATAAAAACAACTAAAATATCCTATTTGAACTAAGGCCTAATCCTGGCTTAATTTAAGACCCGTCTGTGAAACCAGGCCTAAAGGTTATATATGAAGAGTTTGGTTCCAAAACGCGATAAACGCCATTTAAAAAAAAAAAAATTAGTTACTGCAAAAATCGGTATTGTATCTGGTTGGTATTGAAAAGTCAATGTTTAATTTTAAGTAAAATGCGATATCCGCCGTGTTATTCTGTCATGTTTTCTCCCTTTCTTTCCAAACCGCGACAAACGCCAGTCTCCCTTCTCAGCAGAATGCGATATATCCGCTCAACCAATCACAACGCACCATTCCACGCAATGTAAACAGTAACGGCAGCGCCTTAAATACACCCGGCTTCCTAGTTTTTCTTATCTATTTTGTACTTTTCGATCAAAAAACAAACAAAAAAATGAATAATTTTGACGGCATTGATGAACCTGTGGTTGTTTCTGCGGTGGGTAAGAAACGTAAGGCATCGAAATCGAATCATTTACGTGAGGAAGATAAGAAGATGAGGCACTCGGGAGGAGGAAAAATGTTTTCAATCTTCTTTACAGTTCTATTTTGAACAGTTTTACACATATATTATATTAATGCAATGGATTTATAGTATGCACAAGACAACAAATTCAGTGTATAAAATGAATGTGATTTTTTATTCATTGTTTAAAACTTGAAGCATAACTCTGGCATTATTCAACCCATAGCCCTGTTGAGCAAGGTCACTGTGAGCTATTGATAGCTATTCCTTTACCTATCAATAGCTTGTGGTGACCTTGCTCAACAGGGCTGTGGGTTGAATAAAAATCTTTAAAAAAATCTTATAGGCCTAAACAAGTGATATAAAATTTATACTATAATATGTGAATCTTTGAAAGTACGTGTTTTTGTCTGTGAAAACTTACTAAAAATATTATACTAATAAACTTACATTGTTGTGGATTTTCAACAGTTTCAATATGAAAAAAATATATATATATTGATTCAATGGATTAATTGCATTTTGAATTTTTTGAAAATCAAAACCTGGATTTGAATTTTTTTTGTTTTGTTATTATGACCTACAAATGCTATGTGAAAGTTTGAAACAGAAAATAGTGGTTTTCATCTTTCCACTTTCTTGGTAAAGAAAACACATTTTTACTCATCTAAATGGATTTATTGCGTTTTGGAACCAAACTCTTCATATGCTAAACCACTTTTCTTTCTTTTTTCTTTATCTGGCATATTTTTACTTCTGGTTGGCAGTCTCTGGCAACCCATATAACCATTATGTTAACAAATTGTCGAAAGTTTAGCAAACTAAATGCCTAGTTTAGTTTTTGTTACTGTGGTGCCATTGTACACAAATTAAAATCTGTCACAGATATGTTGACATTTAAACTAAGAAACTGAACATGTTTTTCTTATTTTATTAATTGTTTTTTAAGAGTTAGATATGGCATTTGTACTGAGATTTTAATAGTAATATGTTATCATGGAATTTGTGCTTCACAGGAAATGCTAAATAGATGTCACTCTTGATTGTATTTAATAAAGCCAGTCAAATTACTGTGACGTAAAGGTCAATTAGCAGATAGTCTGTCAGCAGGCTCTTTAGATGTCACTTTCAGCCTCTGACAGCATGCCCATGGACTGTCTCATACTTGTCTGGCAGCTTCCATGAGCAGGATTTTTTCAGCCAGTCAAAATTTGGTTTACAAGGGACCAGGCTGCTACAATAGCTGCATTTCCACTGTTGGGCCAAAAGCGAGTGTGCTTGTGTTGTGCATGCCAGGGCCATTTGCATCACCACTGTCACTTCTTCTTCTAGCGAGTGTCTAAAATTACTTCCAATTGTGATCCGATGGGAATTCTGATCACCATATGAGGCAGAAATATATTAATACACGATACTAAAGGCGATTTATGCTAACCATTGCTAAATAATTAGCAATGGCGGAGCCAGCATATTTTCTTAGGGGTGGCCAAGCAGGGGCCAGCAACCTGTCTGGGTGGGGTGGTACAGAAATGTTCATAAATCAAACATAAAAAAATGAGTTTGATTTTGGCCTTGCACTTGAGGTACGAGGCTATTGGCCCCACCCGACACGTTGTTAGCCCTGGCTCACACTGGCCCCACAGTGGAAAAGCAGCTAATGAGCCCTTCTGATAAAAGAGCTAGTTGCAGGGTTTGTTCATGTCATTGAGTCTTTAAAAGCTATTCAGGTGTTGATTACATTGTAGTTTAAGGTGACGTAGTTACATTGTACTAAATGTAAGATTGAGTAATATGAGTAATATTAGTTAACCACATGTACTTACTATAGAGTTTAGTTTAGAATTAATTACTTGTAATTATGCATAATTTATTGTTATTACTATAGCTGTACACGTAGTAACGTGTAACTATGTCACCTTAAAATAAAGTGTTACCAAAGTGTTTTGCTTGAGGCACTTAAACTTGCAAGTAGAAAGTAAACTAGCACTTGTCCTCAAGCACAACTGTATATCCCACTTTTTTGTCGATTTGGTTGTTTCTGTTTCAGATGGAAATTCTGAGACTGACTAAGTGACACTGGCTCTTGGGTGTCCACTTATATCCTCAAGAAAGACCATTTAGGTAGACCTGGGCCCAAATTTTGTCTGATCTCAAACAAATTTTTGTGAAAATAAAAATAAGTTCACTTTCAAAATCAACAAAGCTAAAGAGTCTAATGTTTAACTAAATGAGACTAAGTGTCTCATTAAATGTAATGTACAGGATTATCGCTTATTATTAATGATTACTTGAATGGCTTTGTAATTCTAAAGTAAACATAATAAAGTATGTGAATACATTAATATGGTACTACATGCATGTTATCATAGGCCAGGCTAAAAAGGGCAACACTCAATGTAATAAAGTTTGTAACACATCTCTCTATTTACCAATGAGTTATTGGCCTGATAGACTCCTTGGGTTGACCTTAAATGACTCTTGCACCATTCCTTCATGCCAACTTAACCATAGGACCAGTGTGTCTCTGCTCTTTGATTTTTCATTCCTATTGAGCCTCAGTCATCTACTCTTTTGACTCATCTCCTTCCTCATCCCTCTATAACTGATCTCTGCTCATCGCTACATTTAAGTTGGGGGAGGTTGAATGAGAACTTGTCTGTTTATGTTCTCCATCCATTATATTGACTTGCCTATGCCTGGTCTGACATCAGATTGCATATAGTAGACAGAACATTTACTAATGATAATGAGAATGACCTTTCTGCCATGTCTGTGTGTGCATTTCCATCCAGTTTGAGTTGCAGTAAGCCTTCATATTTGTGGCATTGGTCCCATTGCTGAGTTACTCATAAGTTTCTCTTGGAAAAGCACAACATTTTTAAAATTTGGTTCCTAATTATAGATTCAAAGACTGATTAAGATATTTACCCATAAAACCCTCTTTAAATAATCATTTGCATTAACAAGACAGCTCATTTGTTTGGGCATATGAATGGGCAGATGGTAACCATCTATTTGGGCTGTTGTTTTGGATTAGCTTTAGGCCATATTCAGTATCTGTAATCATTGTACAGTTGGATGATGTTTATATTGGTGTAAATGGAAGTGTGTTTGATTTTTATCTGTCCAATCTGTCCTCTGGCAAGAGGATTGGTTCTAAATGGAAAATGGCTCAATAAACAATTCCCCTCTCACTTTTCAACTTCTGTTTTTTTACACCCCTCTTTTTCAGTTGACCAGATATATCATTTGGCCTCGCCTGCATCGCCACCCAACTACATGTACAACCCTATCAAGACACTGAAAACGAATACTATTGGTACTCTCAACATGCTTGGTGAGTATTACCCAAAAATAAAAATTCTGTCATCAGTAACCAAAACACCCTCATGTCATTCCACACACATACGACTTTTGTTCATCTTCAAAACACAAGATATTTTTGTCCCTCCAATGATAGTCCATTCCACCAAAAGTATGACACTTTAAAATGTCCATGATCCATATCATACGTAATCCATATGAAATACAGCTGCTTAATTCAATTCTGAAGAAAATATTTAATTCAGGGTTTTATTCACATACACATAAACGTGGATCAATGCACATACATAGAGCACATCAAATATCACCCGTACTTGCTAGATGCTCAAGAAATACTTGTGTGACTTTGGATAACAAACCTCATCGGTTCTTGAAAGTCAAGCAAGCACATTTGAGCTTCCGTTTTCAGTATTTTATGTTCTATGTTTATGTGTGTTGATTAATTTTTAGATGTGAATATTCATTAAATCTGTTCTTCATATAAAGCGATTGTGCCTCTTTGATTAAACTGCTCAATTCAAATGTATTACTTTTACAAAGTTATTGTGAACTTTTGAAACGTTGGTGGAATGACATTAGCGGTTTCTGGTTCAAGACCAGCAGGTTTTAGGGGATAGTGCAAAGCCATTTTGTGTGTGTATGTGTCATGGAAAAGGGTATCTGCCATAAGTGACCAAATCAAGGGTCCTTTTATCTCCATAGTAACAGCTGTTAGCAATTCCAATGGCTGCTGTCATAAGACGTTCACAATTGGCATCCACCACGAAAAGACACTTCCAATGTTTTAGGTATTACTTACCTAATCAGGCTCCCTGTTATCTTGTGCTTCAAACTGAACAGAATATCTGAATTCAGCATGATGCACCAGCGCCTTTGCTTTACCATTTTACTTTTGTGTTGTCTTGTGCTCTTCTACTGTTACTGATTAGGTCGAATCTTGCACCTCAGCTGTCTCATCTGTAATGACCATTCAAAAGATCTGGGCTCGTATTCATGAAAAATACTTAGAAATGTGGGTGTTTCCTATTACAATTAAAGAAAAGTTCCTTAAGTAATTCAGAAAGCATCTTAACCCTTAAAAGAGGTCTTAAGGTCCAAAATTGTTATGGAGTACTGACAAGGACTTTCTCTGCAAGCATGTAAAAAAATAAACAGATCAGATTTCGCTCCCCTTCTTACGTAGGATCTAATTATAATATTACCGCCCCTTAAACTGCACGTTTCCACCCACGGAGCCGCCATTTGCTTTTCGGAAGCGACATCAGTGTAACCAGTTCTAACACGATGGCAAAAGTTCGAGGAAAGCATGCAAACTGTCCCGTCAATGGCTGCACAGACGAGCCCAGAACACTATTTGACCAAAAAAATGTCACAGCTGTCTTATAAAGACACTTCCCTTAGGAAAAGTAGCTCATTTGCATTTAAAGGAACACAAAAACGGCGCGTTTTTGCTCACACCCAAAAAGGGGCAACTTTGACAAGCTATAATAAATGATCTGGGTGGTATTTCACAGACACATTCTGGGGACACCAAAGATGTATATTACATCTTGTGAAAAGGGGCATAATGTGTCACCTTTAAATCAATATTTTGATTTTGCCTTAAGCTGCCAGTTAAAGTATAGTACCTGGGTGCTCAGAAGTGAAAGAAACAGACTGCAGGGTCTTGAAACAGTTTAAACTTGACATGCCATATTAAAAAAAAAAAACAGCCACGGTTTAAAAAAAGACAACTGGGACAAATAATAAGGGGGACACATTTTAAGATAATGCAACCCAGGCTCATTGGAAATAAGTGACTGGCTATATTTTTTGCAAAACAGCTAAAATATACGATAGATATATTTGGCCATTTTTACTCAGATTGTGATTACAAGGACATATTTTCCATTAATAAAGATTTATTGATTATACACAATTCCTTGCACAGTACCATGACCTCAAAACCTTTTAACCGTAGTGCGTAAGCGAATACATTTTGAGGTTTGCGTCACATAACCAGCTCCATACGTTTCAAATGCAATAGAGCATTAACCTTTTAGCTCCACTCACTGAGCATTTCATTTTCGTTTTTAACTACGTTGAAGTTAATTTTGCTAACCAGTTGTCTATGTCAGTAGCCTGGTTAAAACCAGACCATTCTCAGTTGTAACTGAGTTATGGTCTGGCAAAGTGTCATAGACAAATCATTTCCAGAGGGGCGTCACCAACGGACGTCGCGGATAGACCTAAACCCAATCAGAGCGATGAAGGAGATGACGTATGCAGAGCGGCGGAAAAACATTTCCGTGTGTTGTTCTTTGCTCGGTTTTTAACTAAAAGGAAACGTTCAAATTGCTTAAAACAGACGCGATAGCTGATTGGAACGAGTGATGTTCGACGGCGCCATCCATCTTTGTAATGTAGGCTACAAAATCTGCTTCAAAATCCCAGCGCTGTCGTCATCATGTAAAGCCCGCCCCAACGTTTCTGATTGGTGCCGCAATTTCGACGGATTGGAAATGGGCTTGAATGAGCTCTTTGCCAGTCTAACTTTCAGAGCAAATCTAAATTTGCCGGAAGTTGTCTGGGTTTTCCCAGGCTACTATGTCAGGGAAACATAAGCTTAAATCAAATCTCAAGACATCAGTCTATAGATAATCGTTCATATTGTACACCTTTTGTAATCTAAATGTTGTTTTTTTTCTTTTTCAAAAAATAATGAGAATATAACACCTCAATTCAAACATTAAGCTGTGAAAGAGGTGATTTGTTGAATGTTATTTTTCTCTGGCTGATATCCTGATCGGGGTGGTCTTTGCTTTTTCCTTGCAGCCTTTTTCTGATTGATGTCTGGTTTGGTTGTTTCTGACTCACCCAATGGGAGTCACATATTGATTGATGAGGCAGACTCTATCTGGTTAGATACAATTTAACAACTGATTTGTTCATGTCTCTCTCTGTCCACAGGATTGGCCAAGCGAGTCGGAGCTCGCCTGCTCCTTGCCTCCACTTCAGAAGTGTATGGAGGTATGTGTACAAATGTCTCCATTCTAATGCTTACAGTAATGGGAAGGGGACATTATATCATAACATATTATTTATATCTCTCTTAAACGCACTTACACATCAATTTCTGTTCTCCTATTGGTTTTTTTCATTAGATGTTTGTTGTAGAAGTAGTCACATTCCAGAACAGCGACCTAAAATTTCATACACTGACAGAATATCTGTGAACCTGGTTGTAGGCATCAGGGACCTGTAGTCAAGCAGTTTTAGCACTTTAGGTATATGGCTTTAGGAATGTGAGTTGAGATCAAAGGCTATAAGAGACAGGGATGAAGTGCTTCAGGCAGTTTGAGAGTGCATGAGTCTGGGATTTGAAAAGATTTTGGTAAATGTAGGATTCTATGGCTGTTCTATGTAATAATAAAGAACCCGATCCCAGTTGTGAAGCATGGTGATAGAAGTGATGTAGTGGAAGCTTCTTTGAGTTCATATTGAATTGTCACAACACACATAATTTGTCCTAAAAGGAAATTAAATATTATGGCCATGTCAATTAATTAAACAGTTCCCCTTAACTAAGCAATAATTACACTGCTGAGAGGTTGTGGCACCTGAAATGGCAAAAGTGTTTACCAGATTACCTAATGTGACCCGTCTCACCCACACCTTCTCTGTGTGATCCCACATCTTCTCTGTGTGATCCCACATCTCTTTGAAATGAGTATATTTACTTCTTTTTTTTAACAACTGAGAGGAAACTGCAATTGATCTTCAGCATTTTGATGGTTGGATAATCAGCTCATTTGGGAATTAGGAATCTCTATCCAAGAGAGAAATAAAGCTTACCGGTAATTAATAGGGCTAGGCTTTGACACAAATGTCATGATTCGATTAAATTTTGTTTCACAAGCTTTCGATTCAATTCCAATATCAGTTCATTTGGATATATATATATATATATATATCGGGTACAATAAAAAAAAATTATCAAAGAAAGAAATCTCTTTCAACTAATGCTGTAAACTTTTTAGGGCTCCCTGTCAGTTGGTACATTACTATATTAAAGGTTAAAATTAAAAAATTTGTATACATACATTTTAATTGCACAAAGAATGTAGTTTTTATAATAATTTTAATGACAATTGTTTTTTCTCCCAATTAGTTTTTTTTTTAAATAAATATTTAAACAGTGGCTGTTATAACTGTCATAGGACAGATCTGTCATGCCACATTAAAGAGTGCAAAAGTGATATTTATTGTTTGAAATTTTTAATACAACCGACAAAATTTGAAAGCTGAGACTGTCTCATATCATAAGTAAATATGGTACTTATATTTATCACAGCACAACTTATTGTGATTATTTTATTGGCACGCTATAAATGGGTGAAGTTTTGTTCAGGCATTTAAGAGTCAATATTGGTTTATCAAAATGAGAATCGATTAAAATTGAGAAATCAATATTTTCAACCCATCCGTAGTAATTGGTTATGTGCAGTTAATGTTTTGTTTGTTTGTCATGCTGATTTTTTTTTCTGTTTTCTCTCTTGCTAATGCCATTTATCACATGCAAGAAAATAAACCATTATCACTAGAAAGTGACAATGACATCAATTTATTTGTTGTGCTATTGATTGCCTTCAAACTGCTTAACCCTCTGGGGTTGTTCGGCCCAAATGGACCCGAATCATTCAAATAAAAAAATGTTAAAAATCACAGCTTCTTCGGAATGGTCCGAAATTTGGTGACTTTGTTGGTATTTGGTATATGAACACCCAAAAAAATTGGGGACAGGATGTGAACAGTCTAAGTGGTTGTAAAAAAAATAGTCACACTCAGGACCTTCGGGTCCAAATGGACCCCCATAGGAAATGAATGGGAAATTGGCAAAAATGTGAAAAAACTGAGTTTTTTGGTGCGTACAATCTACAAATCAGCCACAATCCATAAAAAAAGCACACAACAGTGAAGGGGTGAATCTATAAAACATCAAGAGTGCAAAACAGACACATCCACACACACACACACACACACACACACACACACACACACACACACACACACACACTTTTATACACATACACACTCATAAATTCAGATTACATAAATCTGTTTTGAATTTTTTAAAATCACAGCTTCATCGGAATGTTACGAAACTAGGTGACTTTTATGGTATTAGGTATGTGAACACACAACAAAAATTGGGGACAGGATCTGAATAGTCTAAGTGGTTGTAAAAAAAATAGTCAAACTCAGGACCTTCGGGTTCAAATGGACCCCCATAGGAAATGAATGTGAAATTGTCAAAAATATGAAAACATAGATTATTCAATATGAAAACACAGACTATTCAAATAGAATAGTCTATTTGAATAGTCTAAGTGGTTGTAAAAAAAAAAAAAAAAAATACTCACACTTAGGACCTTCGGGTCCAAATGACCCCCATTGGAAATGAATGGGAAATTGTCAAAAATATGAAAACAGTTTTTTTGTGCATACAATATACAAATCAGCCAGAAAGCAGAAAAATGACTCAACGGTGAAGGGGTGAATCTCTAAAACATCAAGAGTGCAAAACAGACACACAGACACACACACACACACACACACACACACACACACACTGTATTATATATTTATAATAATCTGTATTATAAAGTAAAACTGGCACTTCAAATTACCATTTAAACCAACCAAACAAACAAAAAACAAGACAAAAATAGTCTTTGAGAATCTGTTATTATATTTTAAAAATCAACAACCTGAAAAAAAATTGGTATATATTTGCAAAAATCACTAGAATCCCCAAGCCTTTCTACAGAGAGCTGTAAATCCACTAGTGGTAAAAACGTGCTATTGTGTGATAAAAATGCTCAGTGTGTCCACCAGATGGCATCTATATTTTTTTCAAAAATTGCTTTCATGAGGCCTAGGCTTCACTCTAAAATGTAATACAGCTTTGATAAAAAAAAAAAAAATTCTATTATGTTCAATGGGAAAAAATGGGTCATAATTATTGCATAAATATTCATTATAAATCATAAAATATCTCAAAACACCAAAAAAGAAAATAATTTTTTTTATAAAAAACAAGTAAAAAAAAAAATTTGATTTTTTTTTTTTAAATATGAATCCTGCCCGTTGGGTCCATTTGGACCCGAACACCCCAAGTGTGACTGTTAAACGAACAACCCCAGAGGGTTATGAGTTACTATTCTTCATGATGGCTGCTTTAAAGGATTGTTTGTTTGAATGTGCAAAAAATTTATCTTGCTTTAGCTAGGGTTATTGCTCAAGCCTTCAAAATCTGCCTTTTTAATGAACCAAGAACACTGAATTGCATTGAAATCCAAGAACCACTCTTTTACTCTGAATGGCACAATTGTTTTGAGAACATAAACATACTTTGAGGGAATTATATAATTTGAATGTAAACTATTATAATATTAATTAACTTTACATGTACAGACTGATCATTAAAAATAATTTCTTCTCACCAGAGTTAAATGATTGACCAGAATTGGCAACATAATTTCTTAATCTATACAGCTGCATCAATAACAACTTCTGTAATGGCTCTGCAACTCAGTGTATTTTGACACATAATAACCTTTCAGTTTGATCCAGACAAATTTGTTTGCAGTTTTCCCAGTCTTATTTTAGATTATTGCAGTGCTCCGTTTTTTAATCTTTACGGTTGTGTCCAAGGGTGTTCATTACCAAGCGTGATTATGGATCACAGCGCTCTTACCACTTGGTTTCCACCAAAGCTGCACTGTCCAAATATTATTATTCTGATTATTTGTGTCTTTGCCCATCATGACATCTCTGTCTAACCGAGTTGCTTTACTCTGTGTAAATGGCGTGATGTGATCAATGATGTGATTAACTATGATAACTGTAACTGTAAAATTGTAATAATTGTTTTGAAATAATAATTCTTTGAAAATAGAAAATTATATCATTGGAATCACATAAAAAAAATTCCCAGTTGATAAACAATTAAAGCTTTGACTGCCAATCAGAATCCATCAGACGTTAAAGAGCTTTTAAAGTGGCAGACGACATAACTGCAGTACTCGCTTATAATAAACAAAATGTTATCGTTTTTTAGTGTGGATGCTAAAATAGTTATCGTAAGAACTATCTTTATAGTTGATATCTTATATTGTTCTTGGTGTGAACGGGCCTTTTAAATTGTGCCCAGTTTATCCCCTCTGAAAGAAAAAAGTTGGATCGTCTACTTTTTGTTTTCAAGGTTTTGCAGTCAGTCACAGTCACTCTGTAAAACAGCTGGATTACTGGAAAGTCACTGTAACAATGTTCAAAGTATGGAAGGAAGAAGACGGTCAGCTTGCTGAGACTCGTGTGTTTTATTTGGATAATTCAAACTTCCAAACAAAAGTCGCACTCACAGCGCTCTCTCCAACGCAAACTCAGTCCAATTTAGTTCACAGGCAGCTCTCCTGAGCATTCACACACGAGTCCACAGCTTCTCTCTCCCCTTGATTCCCATTTCCAGGTGGCTTTTATCCGCTCCCTTCACACCAATTACTGCAACGAGAGACAGGTGTATGTCATTTGGTACTTGACCCACTTACTTACCGCTCATCTCCTGCCTCTCTCTCCCGTTGCAGAGCGAGAACACGTCCGCAAATTGTGGCCACCCTGGCCACATCAGTGAGCTGCGAGGGTGAGAGGTGATCTCCACCTCCAGAGCGAGAGATTGGATATTGGTGCTCACTTCTGGCCCAAGATCCTCCTCTCTGCTCACTGCCGTCCATTTTTTTAGGAGATTGAGGTGGTAGATCTGATGAGCCCCGCACTTGTCCGTCCGAACTACCTAATAATTGAGATCTTCCACTCGCCGTGTGACCTCAAAAGGTCCTTGCCACTTAGCTAATAATTTAGAACTGGACGTAGGGAGCAATACAAGTACTTTCTCTCCCGGTGAAAATTCTCGTAGTCTGGTTCCCCTCTTGTACAACCGGCTTTTAGTCTGGGCCTGTAACAAATTATCC